TGCCAGAGTTCAGCCATTTATTCTAAAGTCAAGTGTATGAAGTCAGAAGGTATCAGACATTTCCTTAATTAACACAAGCAACAGTGTGTCTCTAATATAGGGAAAGGAAAAACATTGCAGAGATTTAAAATATATTTTTTTTTAAATGTCTTCATTAAAAAGAATTGTGTGTTTTGCAGAAGATACAAAGTCATACAGGTTTGGAACTGCATGAGGGTGAGAACGTGATGTCAGAATTTTTGGGTGAACCTCGCCTTTAAAATGGCAGCTATTTATGATATTAATAATTAAGTAAATGTGATTGTGCTGTCTGAGAATTGAGCTTATTGTATCAGAATTGTTATGTTAAAAGAAAATTAAAGAAAGATGTTTATTGAAACATACAGGACAACAGTCAACAGCAAAATTATTTCAGATCCTCCATTTGAATGTGAAATTCATTTGGAATTATGTTGCGTTCGTATGTAACCAACTAATGAAATGGTTACTATAATATTAATTTTTATAGATGCACTACAAGTGTCATAGAGAATTCTATTAAAACTATGGAAAAGTGACGTCTAATTGGTGCCACTTGACACCCATTTCATTCGTTCTGACCCATCAGTCCAACCTCATGCTGCGCAAAGACATCTTTGCCACTGAAAATGGCTATCCTGACGGCAGTCGGTCTATTAATCGTTTAACGGCTGGAGGGTCCCTTCTGCTCGTCAAGCATAGTGTCTTAATGAGCATTAGAGTCTTTAAACCATCATTATGGAGTCATGCTTGGCTTGTGTCCTCTGTGTAGGTAGTGCAGAGGTTGCTGGGCCAGCATAGGGTGAGGAGAGGAGGAGGGGGAATCTTAAAACTCAAGACCTTTTCCATAATGGCCAAAGCTTTAAATTATCTCAGAACTCCAGAAGGAAGCCTTTCAGCCTGGAGATAAGAAAACTGTCCCATTTTATGGAGTGCTCTTTGGGTTTTATGGGTTGATTAGGAAAAAGGACCAAACTGTCACTGGTCAGCTCAATGTTTTCACTTAACACAACCCAGAAAGCTATAAAAGTGTCGTTTTAGGTGGGCTAGGTGCACTTTGGCCGTTTAGTAGCTTGGTAACAAAAAATACTGATGTTTTTTCATGGCATATCAAATACATTTGACGTATTGTACAAATATATCTAGAGGCACTGCAGTGTGATATATATGCAGTATGTAATATATATATATATATATACAGTATATATATATATATATATAT